CCGGACCGCGGGCTGCAGCCCCCGCTGGACGCCCGCCGGGCAGAGCTCCCCGGGCTTGGTTTTCTTCCCTGGGGTAGCACCGGAACGGGCCGTCGCACCCCCTCCCCCCGCCCAAATTCTGCGTCGTAGCGGTGGTGGTACTTGGTGCGGCAGGAGCGGAGTGCGTTGCACGAGTTGAACTGTGGAACAGGACAGTTTTAAACACTTACTAAAATAAAATCCACCGATGAAGGAGCCTGTTTTTAATGTTCAGATCCACACCTGCCCTTGTTAGTAAGTCAACCTAAGTCAAACTTAAGTTGTAAACACAGACCAATAATTTTTAGGGAGTGTTGGGCCGGGAACTTTTAACACACAATAGATGATACTTGATACTTACTAACCAGCCATACTAATTCCGTAGTCCTTGAGTGAGCAATTTCATTTTCATGTCATTTACTAGATCAATTGCCTTAACATTACTTCCCTGTGATTTGTAGAGTTCGTGTATACTAGAGATGGCTTGACAGTACTCATGTTCAGAGAGATTTGATTTCCCTTTAGTTTTTTAAAAACTTATCTTTATTGTTGAAAGTATTACAGATGTCCCCCCATTGACCCCCTCTACTTGGCTCCCACCCCCTCCTCAGGCCTTCCCACAATAATGTTCGTCCAGGAGCTGTGCATATATGTGTATAAATTCATTGGTTAATCTCTTCCCGACCCCCTCCCCCCCTTCCCTCTTCTTTGGTTTTACCAGAATCTTTAGACAGGGTTGGGTGATTAGATGTTGGGGATTCACTCAATAATCTCCCGTCACTGTCTTCAAGAAAGGGCCAATTAGGGTCTGCAAAACACCAGAGTATCTTTATGAGTAGTATCAGTTTAGATTAGTAAAAATTAATGAAATTCATTCTCTCAGAGTTTGTTCTATTAGATTATTTTTGCTCCTTTCTTAGGTCCTTGCTGATTGAATCAAGGCTTTAAAAACAGGAAAATCTTTTAAAATTGAATATGCCTTTGCTTCAGCAAGTGGGTAGATATTTGGTGGCTGCTTCCTTTTTATTTTCCCATTTTCTATTCTTCAGTGATTAAGGACCAAAGAGATAAATAAAAGATACTAATGAACTAAAACATATGGTCATCTGCACACTTCACCCTTGGGTAGTTTAGAAGATGTGAAACCATTGCTTCATTGTAACCATTGTTACTTTGACAGGTTCTAAGGTACTATTTGCCTATATCTTCTACACTCTTTCCTTGGATCCCTCACTCTGTATTTCCCATAGCTATGCCCTTAATGACTAAGGAACTAAGATATTTACTTTTTATGAATGACCTGATAAAGAAAATCAGTTTGTTGGAAACAGCCCAATGACCCCCTCCCCCAAATCCATTCACTTTTATGTTCTTTAAAAATGTGGCTTCAAACATGGTATTGGCCTTTTCGACCTTGGAAGTATAATGGACTAGGAAGATGAATGAAGTATTCTAGGCAGATGTAAGAATAGAGATGGCCATAATTAGCCTAGAGCAATGGCACTTGAGAATTTTGTAGTATTGACACTGTTAGATGATCATACACATTCCAGTAATGTGAGACAAGATTGATCCTATCCCATACTGTAGAAATTCAATTAAACCATACTCCTGCTTTTGGGGAAACATGGGAAACAATGAACTCCAAATTGTTTTGTATAAAAAAGTATTTAAGTAATTGAACATTTATTTTTACATGTGTTTTTTACTTGTTCCTCCACTTATTCAGCTAGAAATTACACTACCCAAGAATACATAGTATTTAACCCTATATTTTTCAAACCTTCCCAAAACTGCACCCTAAAATAAAAATTTATTTTACATCTCAACCTAGTAAGTATACACATCATACAATACATATAATTTCAGAAAGAATATTTACTCTGTGTTATTAACTCTGAAATTTTCTTTAAAATTCTGTTATTTAAGAAAGTGCAACTCACAACCTAATAATGGGTCAAATGTACAGTTTGGGACAAAGAACTCTGCTAATTAGTCTCTGGTCATAAGTAGCAGCTTCATTTAGGTTAGTTGTTTTTTCCACATTTAACTTACCCATGTGGAATTTAGTCCATGTGGAACTTAATTATATGTACTTGGAGAAGTACAAAGTTTGAGTAATTCCATATACCACCCTCTCTATGGGAATGACTCAGAATAAGCATGTGGTATTTCTCTCAATACAAGCACCTTATCCTGCTCTTTGTGATTGTATATTAAACTTTTTTCATATGGTCTCAGATTAGTAAGGAGCATACACGTAATGCTTACTTGAAGAAAATATGATTAATTACAACATGGGAGAAAAGCTGTCTGTATTGGGCTTACTGAGGATAGGATGTTAGCTTCCAAATGTAGCTTTTTCCTAAGGAATGTTGAACGATGCTCCTAAGGGTAATTTTAGATCCATGACACTTAGGCCTTGTTCGTTGATGTAGAACCTAACTTCACCATACTCTTAATTTTGATTATATATTTCAAGAATGTATTACCATTTGTGACAAAGGATGTTTGTGGGTATGTGTATGTGTACATTTATTACCCCTTTTAGAATATCAGATAAGAAAAAGTATGTGTAATATATATATAATAGGGTATCCCCCAAAATATATACATATACTTTGAATAGTTATAAAGGCACTGTTTATTATTTTAAAAGTTTTATCATTTTCAAAGTTGAGCTATCAGCTGTTCAAGTATGTATACATTTTGAGGGGAATATATATATATATTCAGATATGTGTACCTATATCACAAAGCTTATTTCCTTTTTTAGTAGCAGTCAAAAATGTTTACCTATAAGCTATAAACCAAGTTCAGGTAAAAATCATTTGAGGCATTTAAATGAAATATAAATTCATTATTCCAACTTTAATGATGAAACTAACTTTCATGAAGCATGTGATGTTGGAATTAAGAGTATATGACCTGAGAACTCAGCCAGTTACTTTTTTTTGGTTAGATATTTAGCTGTGTTGTAAACCTGTCCAGTCATTCACAAAGGAAAAAAAAAATTTGAGAACATGGTATATAATTAGAATCCTTATCATGGTTAGTATCTGTATTCTAGTAGGTAAATATTTTTGTACAATTAATTTTCATAATAATAATTTGAGTGGCTACTTTGTGCTATACTTTGTAATTAAACTTCTTCCATTATTTTCCCTGAGTTCCAATGGGCAAATTTATTTGTTCAAATATAGGAAATAGGTTTCCTGTGTTTGTTGAATTCATTCCTCCAGTACAGGTAAAGTGGCGGCCTATTATGTTGCTAGACACTAAACTAGGTGCTGGGAGAATAGGTACCCAGTGAAAAAGATAATTTTGGTTGTCTGTATCTGTAAAGTGGATATTTATTTCCATGTTAGCTGATAAGTGAAAGTCAAAGCTAATCCACTCGTAAGATAATTTAGGCCCAAATCTTGTAGGATTTCGTCAGCTCATTCACAGGCTGAGTTTAATAAACTGTGAGAAGGAGTGAGATTTTTAAATTTAAATTATTTGATTCTGTGTAGAAGTTCTGTAGTAATAATAAATAATTTTATGAGTAATTTTTAAAGGTTTTTATTTTTAATTTTTTAAAAGAACATATTTAAGTGTTCAGTGGAAGGGAAAATATAGGAAAATATAAAGATAACGTTACTGACAATGGTTAGTTTCCTTGTTTTAATGTCAGGAATACTCTGGAAACTAGTTTTGTGTTTTGGGGGGGGGGCCTTTATTTCTTTTTGTATATGAAATGTCTTTTTAATAACCAGAGTTAAAATCCAAATTGAAGATGATATAGCATTTAAATAACTGAGAAACTCACAAAACTAATACATAGAGTAGTCCCACAATCCATTCTTAGCATTTTATTGCTCACAAAAGAAATTTTTTTTAAAAATTATGTATCACTTATATATTTGAGTATTTTTAGGTAATGAAGAAAATCTGAATGCTGTTGCTGTCCATAAATAAAAGATAAATTAATAATTTAATTTTAAAGTAAAGAAATTTGGAAATTAGCAAGTTCTTCCCTAAATGACCTCTGGGTATAAACAGTAAACAATAGAGTGTTTTTTGAGAACTCTTCCTCTGAAGGAGGATTTTTTCTCTGGGCTCTATGATAAAAACAGCTTAAGGAGAATTTATCGTTCCTTTCTCTTTGTTGGGTATGAAAAGGAGATATGAAATAACCATTAACCATAATAACAACAAAAAGAAAAAGAGGAAAAAAGTATAAATTAAGGTGAAGAATTTTTTGATCATATATTTACTGATTTCTTATTATGTCACTTTCACTGCTAGAGCTAAGTCCTTTATTAGGAAGTCATACTTATTTAAGCTGAAGTAACTCAGTTATTTTATAAGTGTTGAAAACCTTTTAAAAATTTTTTTACATTTTTATTTATGTTACCCTTTCTTGCTTAGTATTTTAGGTAGAAAAGTTGAGATGAAAATATATGTCAACCTTTGCTATTTTGTTTGGAAGCAAGCTATAAGATAAATTTATAGATAGCATTGGTTTCAAAAGATTTTTTAATGTCATCAACATACCTTTTAAAATTAGAGATATTAATTAGAGCACATAATGTTGTATTAGCTTACTTTTTCCAAATCTTCATTGCCTTTTGAGCAGGTTATGACATGTTTATGTATGGAGTGGGCAAAAGTAGGCTTACAGTTGTCCATATGGAAAATACTACAATAATGAATACATAATACAAGTTACCTGTGTTTCACGTACTTATAACTGCAAATCTACTTTTGCACACCCCTGTATTGACATTTCTTGTCTTTAACCCAAATGCTGAATTCTTACTTTTAAAGGGATAAAGTAAAACATGATGTATCAGATTTGTTAGGTAGTACTCTCTAGTACTCAAGCTGTCAAAAGTCTTTAACAAACAAAAAGAAAATAGGTCAAAGATTTGAGCATTAAAAAAAAAAAAGAAAAGTTAAAATTTTAGAAGTAAATATAGGTAAATGTATTTCTAATATTGGAGTAGAGAAGGCCTTCTAATTGGGACATAAAATCCACAAGCTATAATGGAAAAGATGGATAAATTTGAATATGTGAAATTAATAACTACCTTTTCTCCCCAAAGAATTCATCATAAAACTAAATAAGCAACAACATATTGGGGAAAAATATTGTAACACAATTGGTAGACATAAATCTAATTTTAAGATTTCCAACAATACTTCTTATATTTTATTGGCAGAACATAGTTACAGAGCCCACAGACAAGGGAAGCAAGTCTTTTAATTGGGCAGCAAAGAGCCAAAATGTTTCCTGTTACTAACAGGAAGGGGAGAATGGATGATGGAGAGAGCTACAAATGGAGGTATCTGCCACACAAGTAAACACCAACAAACAAATGTAGTATTTTTAAATGTGCTGTGAAAAAAAATAAACAGGGTAAGGGGATTACCAGAGACTTAACAGTTTTGGTTGCTATAAATATAATAGGGAAGTCTTTTTGAAGAGGTAACATTTAAGCAAAGAACTGAACTGAGGGAATAATCTGCATGAAGATCTGGTGGATAGCACATGTACAAAGGCTCTGGTACAGGTAGACAAGAAAGGCGGTGTGAACAAGGAGAAGAGTGATAGATGAGGTCCGACCAGGTGTGTATGCGGCCAGATAATGGGGAATCTTGTAGTCTTGGTAAAGAGTTTGGATTCTTTTCCTAATTAACAGGAACCAATTGGGGGATTTTGAATTGTAAGGAGGCTAGGGGACCATTGTGGAGAGCTTGGCAAGAGATGGACTTGACTGGATGAGAGTGATGGTGATGGAGAAGTTGAGAAGTGGTTAGAATTGGGATACATTTTGTAGGTAAGGCCAATAGGATTTACTGATGGTTTGGATATGAAATGGGAGGAAAAGAGAGCAACCCATGTTAACTCCTAGGTTTTAGGGCTTTGAACAAATGAGTAGATGGTGTCATTTTCTGAGATACAGAGGTGCAGGTTTCTGAAAGGGTAGGAAATCAAACATTGTATTTTGGGTAAGTTAAATTTGGGATACCTGTTAGGCATTCAAGTGGAATTATCGAGCAGGCAGTTGGAGATTCAAGTCTGCATCTATGGGTAGAGGAGACAGCTAGAGAGAGAAATGTGGGGAGTTGATAAGTAAAACCATGGGATTAAATGAGGTCACCTAGGGCAGTGGTTCTATGCTGCGTGCATAGAATTACCTCAGAAGCTTTTAAAAAATACTTGAACCTTACCAGAAACGAATTAAATCAGAATCTCTAGATCATCACTATTTAAAAACAACAACTCCCCCAAAGTGATTCCTAACAGTCAACCAGTGTTGAGAACAACTGACCTAAGCCATATGGACTGAAACTGTTCATTGTCCATTTGGATTTGGCTATATAGAGGACCTTGAAAATTATTTTAGCATAATAGTGGGAAGGGAAATCTGACTGGAGGAGGTTATAGAGTGAATGGGTGTTAAAGAAGTGGAGACTGTTTATAAGTAGCTCTTTCAGGGAATTTTGCTGAAAAGGGAGCTGAAAAGGGAGCAATAGCTAGAGGGCTATTTCCATTTAGAGCAAATTTACCTTGATATTCTCAGCATTTCATTGTTTATACCTTAAAATGTGAAGGGTAGAAGTAGTAAAAGTGAATGTGGGTTATCAGTATAAAACTTTTTAAAATAAAGCTTTCCTGCTATATTTTTTAAGAATCTGTTTTATAGTTATTGTGCTGGTGATAAAATAATTTTGTTTTTTCATTTTTTAATTTGAGGCAGTGTATCGTCTTCTCTGTTAGAGCTACAAAGCAATCCGTTTAAAATGTCTTTTGTTTCTCTAAGGCTGATAAAGAATTTGTATGGTCTTTGTGGAAACGTCTCCAGGTGACAAACCCAGATGTCACACAAGCAGTCAGTTTGATTGTGGAAAGGTAAGCTCTCAAGTTATTTCTTCATGAATATTTGGTTTGTTGAATTTGTTTCTCTTCGCTGTGAAAATTAAAATGTGGTGCTAATCCCCTAAAGCAGTAATTTTTCAACCTTTTTAATCTCATGGCACGTATAAACTAATTACTAAAATTCTGTGGCACATCAAAAAATATATTGTTTGCCAATCTGACAAAAAATAGACATAACTTTGATTCATTCACACTGGACGGCTATTGTGTTGGCTGATGTCATTTTTTTATTTGACAATCTAAGGGAAAATAGGTCAGTGCCTCAGGTATTGCATGTTTTCAAAATTCTTGCAGTACACCAGTTGGAAATCACTGCCCTAAATAGATGCGTTTGATTTCCAAATGAATGTGGAACATGATAAAATTATTGGATTTATTTCAAGGGATGCCAATTCACCTGATAGTATAGGTAAATAAGCCATAACTCCTGCTCATTTTCTGACATATTTGGGAAGTTTGTAGGTAGAGATAAAACTGTGACTTAGACATTGTGTGTGTGTGTTGAGCTGTTACAGCTCAACTTTAAAAATTGGAGAAGTCCCTGTTGTTTGGCTTCTTACTCTTGAGATTGCCCTTGTTGGCAACTTCCTAGACAAGGCTTAGTATTCCCCTATGATAACTGCAGTATTTACTTGAAAACCTGGGATGACATCGCCAGAGTAGAGGAAGTGTTCTGGAATAGTTTGAGGGATTTCACTTAACACTGTATTATCCTGTGCCAGATGCCCTGTCATTTAACTATAGATTGTTAGGCTTCTCCTTGAAACAGTGGAGTGATGGTAGGTACTCCGTTTCAAACATTTGGTATAGAGTAGTCCTTTGACACTTAGCAGAACAATTAAAACACTTGCGTTCCTATTAAATGAATTTCATTACATTTCCTAAGTGAGAAGCTAAGCATTTGGATGCATTTTCCTTTTTCTTTATTGGAATGATGATTATGTAACCTGAATATTACTTTTCTTAACTTGAACTGGATTCACATTTGGAGTCTCTTGCCCTGGGATCATTCTGATATTGCTGGAATTTGACTTCGTATTTTTAATTTTATTTATATTTTTATTGATTTCACAGAGAGAGGAAGGGAGAGCGAGAGAGAGATAGAAACATCAATGATGAGAGTCTTTGATTGGCTGCTTCCTGCATGCCCCAGGCTGGGGATCAAGCCAGCAGCCTGGGCATGTGCCCTGACTAGGAATTGAACTGCGATCTCCTAGATCATAGGTTGATGCTCAACCCCTGAGCCATGCACAGTCCAGGCAGGAATTTGACTTTTTAAAATCTGTGATATATTCCTATGTTTAATTTTACTATCCTTGATTACTGTGAGCTCTTAAAAACAGCATAATCAGTTTCTCCTCATGTTGCTTGTATGTCTAATTCGTCAATCAGTTTTTCCCTTTTGATAATCAGAATTAAGTCTTTGGTTGACTTGCCCTTGTAACTTCCTCAGTCATCCCTGAGATAAAATGTGATCACTCTACCCACTGTATTTTAGAAGAGTAAGCCTTCTAGAAGATATATTCTTGGTACTTCAGTTGCCATTTCTGTGATTCTTTCTTTATTCTCATTTTTATTTGTATGTACAGGGTGTCCCAAAAAAATGTATACACACTTTAAGAGCTGATAGCTAAACTTTGAAAATGAAATGTATTTTGATAAACACTGCCTTTATAATTATTTAAAGAGTATGTATATTTTTTGGGACACCCTATATTTTTAAATTTGCTAATTTGTTATATTTTCTAACTTTCTAAAGCTATCTTTAATTTTCACTTTACTTTTGGTTGTGACAGAAGCAAATATTAAAATATTGTTAGGTAATTGTTCTCATCCTTTGAGATTTCTATTTTCATATTCTGCTATATATGTGATATTTAATTATATAAAGATGTATATATATAAACACAATTTATAAATAAATATATATTGGGAGTGGGTACTCAAAAGTCTTCTGCTGATAAGATATGTAATGGAAAATTTTGGAATTACTGTTATGGTAATGATTCTCAAAATTAACAGCAGTGATTCACTAATATGAACAAGATATACTTGGAGAATTTGCCTAAATATAGATCTCTGAGACTTTCTCCTGATCTACTGAATCTCTAGGGATGAGATGTAGATGTTTTTAAAAATAAGCTTTCCAAGTAATTCTATTGTTGTAGTTAATAGATCACAGTATGAGATATTGGAATGTGAATTGACTTTTGAAATTGGGAACCTGTAAGTGGCATTTATAATTTTATAATTATGTAAATATTTACTTCCTAAAGAACCATGCATTATGCTTGGACCTGTTGAGAAGAGAAAATGTGCCATTCAATCTATATCTATGAAAAAAATATTCTCAATATCAAATACACTATATTTTTGTATAGTCCATCAATTACCTGAACTATGCTACACTTAAGTCTGTGTAATATTTGTGCCTTGGTTTTCCTGGAAAACATATTTTTACCCCTGGAATTTCTAATTGCCCTTCTTTTCTGCTTTTCTTATCATAAAGAATATCCTTGTTCAGGCATTTGTATAATGGCAGAAGACATTCTTCCCTAGGCCCTTTGACTTATGAATTTGGACCAGTTTCTTTCTAAACCTACTGATAACTGTCAAGCGAATTGATAGGTGGTAACTGACTGAACAAAATGGAAAATGTTGAAATCCATAATACCTAAAATAGTCTTAGGAATAGATGACAAAAATGACCTCTGATGACCAGAGTGAGGCATGATGCTAAAAAATATAAAGATTGAATTAAAGTCTATATGATGAGCATGTAGACTCCCAGTACTCCTTCCATCAAGGCAGGATGCAAAAGTTTTATTCTCTTGAGAAATTGAAATAAGTAGTCTCTGGTCTTAGGGATAACAGACATATCAAGGTACAGGGGTTAGTATTATGCTGAAAATGGAGAAATAAATAAAAGCACATCTGATAAGGGGTTATCTTTGAAAAAATATAAAGAACTTATAAAACTCAACACCAAGAAGGCAAACAATCCAGTTAAAAATGGGCAAAGGATCTGAATAGACACTTCTCCAAAGAGGACATACAGATGGCCAATAGACATATGAAAAGATGCTTAACATTACTAATTATAAGAAAGATGCAAATTAAAACCACATTGAGGTATCACCTCATAGCTGCCAGAATGGCTGCCATCAACAGATCAACAAACAGTAAGGGCTGGTGAGGATGTGGGTGGAGAAAAAGAAACCCTCATGCACTATAAGTGGGAATGCAGACTGGTGCAGCCACTGTGGAAAAAAGTATGGCGTTTCCTCAAAAAATTAATATGGAACTACCTTTTGACTGAGTGATCCCACTTCTGGAAATATATCCGAAGAGTCTTGAAACACTAATTTGAAAGAATATATGCACCCCTATGTTCAATGTAGCATTGTTTACACTAGCCTAGATCTGGAAATAGCCCAAGTGCAAATCAGTAGATGACTGGTTAAAAAAGCTATGGTATATTTACACCACGGAGTACTACTTGGCTGTAAAAAAGAGGAAAACCTTACCTTTTGTGACAGAGTCGATGGACCTGGAGACTATTATGCTAAGTGAAAGAAGTCTATCAGAGAAAGACAAATACCATATGATCTCACTTATATGTGGAATCTAATCAACAAAATAACAAACAAAATAGAAACAGAAACATAGATACATAAAATAGACTGATGGCTGTCAGAGGGGAGGGGGTTGAGAGGGCTGAGTGAAAAAAGGTGAAGGGATTAAGTTAAAAAAGTATATCTATATATACAACACATAGACATGAACAACATTATGGTGATAGCCAGAGGAGGGAGAGTGGGTGGGGGATGTGGCAGTGGGCAAAAGAGGGATAAATGGGGACAGAAAGACACTTGACTTTGGGTGGTGACCCCACAATGTAGTATGCGGATGATGTTTTGAGTTGCACACTTGAAACCTATATGGTTTTATTTACCAATGTTATCCCATTAAATTCAATTAAAATGAAAAAAATGAAAGTGAAGAATTTTATTTGGAAAAGGCTGAATGTACTAAAATACATAAACTTTTAGGAATGTTAGCACTATTGCTAAGTAGTTGTAAGTGTATATACATTTGCTTCATAAAGTATTTAATGTAACAAGCCTTTATATTACAGCCTTCAACATTATTAATGTCTTATTTGTTTATGCTGATGTTCTATCTTTGACGTCATGCAGTCGAGGAAAAAATCTTTTAAAACCTGAGGGAAGATCTTCTAGAATTTTGAAAAAAATTAATCATTATAGTTGGAAAATTTTTAGAAATTTTATGGAAAAATAGAAAATTAATGTTTCAGCATAAGTGAGTCTTAATTTCTATTGCTCCCTCTCTGGTTCACTGATTTCTTTATGCTGTGTAGGAAGCTATTGAGTCCATCCATTGAGTTGTTGGTTTTGTGCTTTTCAGTCCTTAATTTTCCATTTGATTCTTTGTATCTATGTCTCTTTGCTGAGAATTTGTGTTTTTAGTTTGTTTTTGTGTCATTATAACAGCTTGTTAAAGCATTTTCATGATGGCGCCTTTAAAATTCTTTGTCAAATAATTCTAACATTTCTGTTAGCTTCTATGGATTGTTTTTATTCAGTTTTATAGATTCCTGGTTCTTAGTATGATTAGTGATTTTTTATTGCAGCTGGACATTTGAGTATTGTGTTATGTTACGGGTTTAAACCTTCTGTTTAAGCTGGTTTTCTTTGATACCACTCCATCAGGGAAGAGGTGGTACTTCCATTTTACTGCCAGGAGAAGTTAGAAATTTAGGTTCCTTTCTTGGCCTCTGTTGGCACTTGTGGACGAGGTAAGGGTTTCTCATTACTGCAGGATGGGCTTGGGACTTTCCACTCCCTATTAGTCCTCCACTGATACACCCTGGCTGTTAGGAATGGATGCCTCCTCATATGACCTTCACTGACAGCATGGAGAGAGGGGAGTCTCATTACTGGTGGACACTG